GTGTGTGTGTGTGTGTGTGTGTGTGTGTGTGTGTGTGTATGTATATATATATATATATATGTATATATATATGTATATGTATATGTATATGTATATATATGTATATATATATATATGTATGCGGGTTTTGAGAAGCCGTAACAGTACGGTATACAAGTGTGTTTTTTGTGGTCAGAAATTTTGTGCAAGAAAATCGAGACAGAAACATCAGAAATTAAGTAAAATGCGAGAAAATATACCAATGAATAGGCCCGATTGAGATGGCATAGAAAGCGTATTACGAATTGGGAATAGAGTAAACGTGCGCATACATTCCTCCATGCGTACGCACCTCAATAACTTCATCATTCTCAATATAACACACTCGCCTGTAATTTCATTATACCCACAGGTAGTTACATATGCATACACACACTAATAAACCGTGTCTACAAGTATACGTATATACGCCATCCCACTTATACATACCTCATACGCCTCGGGGTTGGTCATAACGGCCTTGGAGTGCACGCCCGCCTTGTGCGTGAACGCGGCACTGCCAGTAATCTGCTCGTTAAACGGAATGGGAACACCCACAGCCGCAGCCACATACTTGTCCAGCCATTGCACCAGATTAAGATCATACCGTTCCAGGATAGCTTGCTTGTCAATGGCGTACATACGTGCCAAGAACCCGCCCAGTGGGGGAATACCATTGCGTTCGCCAATACCTAAACGCGGAAGAGCGTCCATGATAAGTGGATGTTTTTCGTGTTGGTGTGTGTGTGTGTGTATGTATATATATATGTGTGTGTGTGTGTGTGTGTGTGTAATACTTTGCGTCTGATTTCATACATATGTGCTAAGAACCGCCCGGAAAGGAGACGTCTTTGCGTTCTCTATATCTACATGCAGGGGAGAGCCGATGTGAGTGAATTTCTGTGTGTGTGAGTGTATACATATATATAAGTACGTGCGTGTGGGTGGTTATATATATATATATATGCGCGCGCGTGTGTGTGTGTGTGTGTATGTTATGCGTCCTTTCTTCTTGTATGTCAGAGCGCACGACCCTTCACCGTGTACACATGCCTAATACAGACCTACAACAAAAGAAACGAAGAAACTCAGACCATACTTCACCATGCACACCGCACACACAGGAGCATAGCAAGACTACTCACGCGCATCAGGCTAGCCCCGCTACATGCTTCTGCGAATACTCCAGACAGCGGTTACTATATACATGTGCACACGCAAACTACGCGAGGGATGCAGAGACATGACCGCTGCACTGCTGCGAACAATGACATATGCCTAATACACCCGTATGATACATGCAAGACCACACATATACACCTCCATGACATGCACAAGAACATACGTCAACCCCTTGTATGTTATACAGACACGACCTCGAGTGACGCAGCTATATACCTAAGCCGCCTTAAACCCTGAAATACATGGAGAACCACAGCCACACTTGAAGCCCATTCGAACACGCACAAGAACAAACTCAAACCCTAAAACCCTATATTTGAACAGAAACATACCTAATACACTCGTATCAATATGCGTCGCCCCGGCGTCCAGTGCCACCAGTGAATTGGCTATGGCGCAGCCAGTATCGTTGTGTGTGTGGAACTCAATACCGACGTCTGGACCAATCACAGAACGCACAGCGGATACGGTGTCGTATACCTGTTAGATAAATAGAGAATACATACACGTATATGAGTGTAAGTGTGAAATGGTGGCATAAATAAAAATCCACACACGTATATGAGTGTAAGTGTGAAATGGTGGCATAAATAAAAAATACATACACGTATACGAGTGCAAGTGTGAAATGGTGGCATAAATAAGAAATATATACACGTATTTGAGTGTGAATGTAAAACGGTAGCATACATAGAAAAGGCATATACGTATAAATATGGATGTGAAATCGTAGCAAGACGCGGATATGTCGTTAACTAGATATGCGTGTACGTATATGCGTTTCTATGTTTGACTGTGCGATTGCCCACAATGTGTGGGGTACGTAGGGACTAAACCAATACATGCTGATTCACTATCTAATGTTCTCAGATGGGCAGATAACCTTGAGTGCCTACCATTGAGTAGCCAAAGTATAGTGATATACACCTAGGTGGGGCTATACTATAGATGTCGCTAGCACAATTGCAAACAAGGGTACACAATGTATAGGATTAGAATAAACCTCGATAAGGATTAGAATAAACCTCGATAAGGATTGGAGATAAACCTCTATAAGGATAAGAAATCAACCTCGATAAGAATTAAAAAACCTCGATTAGGATTAGAAATAACTCTCGATAAAAGAAAACGTATATCGATCACATGAAGTAGATGACGTCTCGTAGATGGCGTGGTACTTCTTAGCATAAAGCACCACGTATGCATGCGGTATTGTTAATCCCGGAGACCGTATTCACCCTATCATTTACACCACAATATATAATATAGCCCACAATATCGTCGTCAATATAATTAGTACTATACTCCATTACGCGGGCGGGTAGTTCGGTACCTCCATCTCTGCCATGGCAAGCCCTACTGACACAACCCACCAGACCAAACGATACAACCTGAACGAAGTGCATCCCCAAGCCCTACCTACAAACCATATCCTTAGCAACATACCATATCCCTACCTACATACCTCATCCCTACCTACATACCACATCCCTACCTACATACCACATCCCTACCTACATACCACATCCCTACCTACATACCACATCCCTACCTACATACCATATATGGCGTGGCGATTCCCACCGTGTCAGCCACTCCCACGCGATTCACGCCCATCTTAGCCACGGCCTCATAGATCCGCAGGATATCCCTCCGGTCTGATCGGAACGAGTCTTCGCACGAGAAGCGAATCTCCAACCCTTTCCCTTGTACGTACTCAATGACCTCCTGGGCGGCTTCAATAACCGCGTCAATGCCCTTGCCGTGTGAGTGCTGGCTGAGTATCTTGGACGTGGCCATGTAACAGTTGATGCCGTCCACCCCCGTCTCGGCGGCTATTTTGATGTCGTGCATATGGCATCGAGTGTGCGTCAGAACCTGCAAGGGGGGGGGTACAGACAGGGCTGAGACATTGGATACGTGTCGAGTAGGTATCTTCCAGATTTGTAACGTTTGTAGAAATAAGGACCAGATATCCATAGCAGCAATCGGATCGGTTCGGGATCCATGAGTTGGCTATTTAACTCAGCTAAGCAGTTTGATCATGAAGGGTGTTTCGAAGGGCCTATCGCGTATGTCAGCCTCACTAAGAATATGTCAGTGAGTGCTCGGGGTCGTATCGGCTGGGATGAATGTATCGATATCCACAATCGCGTGCACACCCGAAAAAAAAACGCAGCTAAGAACACTGCTGATATTTTCGGCATGTGTATAAACATATATCTACAAACCACTAGAAACATAAGCATGTACATGTGCATGTGTGTGTACGTATTCTGCATTCGTGTACACATGCACACATACCTGCACGCCCGAATCCCTATATAACCCTCATCTATACCTCCCTCAAAGGAGCCTCCAACTACTTTTCCAACAAGATCGAATGTATGCGATCTCGTGTATTCATTTGTATATGATATGCATCCGCATGCCGGCAAAACCCCCATTTCTTATCGACACACTTCTTGTCCAAACATCCCTGACAGTATCCTTTACCTACCACCGTCCACCTACCTTTGCATTCAGGTTGAGATTGGCAATGGCCTCACAGTCGCGCACGGCCTGAAGCGACGCCGCGGGATTGACCACTTCAATGTAGTCCACACCCAATTTGTCTAAGGACTTTGCGATGAAGATGCGCTCCTGCTTTGTGAACTCGCACGACGCGAATTGCTCGCCCTGTTATACAGACACAACACAACACAACATAACACAACGCAAAGAGAGTGAGAACCCCGAAGTGATAAATTGTGCATGTGTCGTACAGTTGGGAATCGGTTGTGTGATGTCTGTGTTCGCGCTTGCTTTGTCGTCTCGTTAGTCGTAAATCATATTTGGCATACGTCCTCATTCACAAAATGTGGGACTAAGCACTAAAATGGGAAATCCTCAACCAGTGCTACAGAAACCCGGACTAACTCGAGGTCCTTACGAGGCTCTATGAGGGCCTTTTTAGACCAGGCAATGGTAGATCCCATTCTGCGTGGTCTAAGGGTCATATCTATGACTGTTTCCTATCGATGTAAAAGAGAGAGAGGAACCAGGCAAACTGAACCCCCAGATTCAACTATTTCTGCTATGCTACCGGTTACATCACCATCGGAGACATTGTGTATGTATATATATATACGTATACATACATACATACATATTGCATGCATACATGCATATATATATATATATATATGTGTGTGTGTGTGTGTGTGTGTGTGTGTGTGTAGTGTAGTGTATGTATGTATATATGTACATGTATATGTATATATATGTATATATATATATATATATATATATATATATATATATATATATATATGTATATGTATATGTATATGTATATGTATATATATGTATATATATATATATATGTGTGTGTGTGTGTGTGTGTGTGTGTGTGAGAGTGTA